TGAGCTAATAAGTGTTTCTTTCTGCAAAAAGGGTGATGAAACTTGATTTAAAACTCATTCTCCTTTCCACTATATGATGCTGTCCTACGATATCCCTATTAAATGTCTCTACTTCATAAGACTCATCTTGATAATACCAACACGCAAAGGAAATATGTAATGGATTCCTACAAACCTGTTACTAGAACAGCCCATACCAAATGTTTGAATTTTTAGATAATGTCTGTTATTTCAATATTTGCTACATAATTGTTATAATAATGACTAAGAACATATTCAATGACTACACTGTTTGAAAAACACCATTTTAAATTGAATGTTGCTTTTTTTGTTGTTTTTTAATAAGATACCATCATGTATTGCATACAGTGTCTCTATTAGCAACATTACTGCAGCACAATTTCTTTTCTGGTTGTCCTCTTCTTACTCTAAATTCTTTCTTGTTATTACTGAAAGGCAGGAATACTTCTACAAAGGCTCATGAGCATGCTGTGACTCTATACGCATGCTGGAAGGCAAAACTTAAATTTCCAGCATACTACTAGATTATGTACATGCAAAAATACATACTTGTTCATGGAACTCAGATACTTCTAGAATTCAACATCTGTTCACAGAAGTGGCTATTGGCATACACTTATCTGTGAATCACTATGCAAATATATGCAACTGCAGTAAAAGAAGTCCCTAGAAGATTTGAAGAAATACATTTACTTTTGCAGAGTTAAAATTTTGAGGTGACTGATGGGCCCATTGTCACAACCCTTATGGAAGCTGCTACCTACTTTTCCCACTGAGAAAGTAGAATATTATTCTCCAAGAAGCATTAGATTTAGCACAGAAATTCCCAGTTCTGACATTGTTTTGATTAATCCTGTGTCATTGTGGATCAGTACAGTATGTCCCCAAGGGAATCAGGCCCAGACAATGAAAGTGGTACAGAGTGAAAGTGGTATTATTTACCAGAAAAAGTGAATCCTCTTTTGGTGAACACTGTTCAAGAGACAGTAGAATAATCATCTAAAGATGCCTTTATAAAAATCAATCCTCTGTTCACACTCATGGAACCATGCAACCAAAGAGTCAGTCAAAACAATGTTCTCTTAGCTGCTTGTTAATGGTACTGGTCAGATGATTGTGATTAAGGACCAATCAGGATAGTCCTGACAGAGGCTAATTTCATGATGTTTCTTAAAAGAAATGCATTGCTCTGCTAAACATTAAATTTTTTTTTCTATGTGGAGGTCTGCTAGTATGGACTGTAACTTTTCAGGACCTATGTTAGAATGCTAAAAGCTTTAAACAACCTGTTCAGAGCTACTGCTTGATAATGTGTCAGCTGCTTCTACACTGAACATTGTACAAGTAATCTTGCTCTCCGATCATGCCTTGTCAAACCACAGGGGGCTAAAGAGGTATCTTAAGACATGGGCTTAAGCAAAGTCATACACCCTGCTTTAAAAAGCAGATTAAGCATGTGACAGATGCTTTGCGACAATTTACAAGCTGTATATGCTGACCTGGTTTTTGTGATGTTTATTTTATTATTATGTTGGTTTGATTTAATTCAAAAATAGAGACAAAACCTGAAATATTTGTTAAAAGTAATATACTTGCTGATAAACACCCTCAGGTCAGTTAGTGATAAAACTAGAATTGTCAGCTGTGAAGATCCTATTTCTGGGCTCCAGTCAAGCTGCTAAAATTTCTTCGGCCAGCGTTGGAGACTAAGATCAAAACAACTCCAATGACTATACAAACTGTTCACAGGCCAGATGTTAAGAAGCCAAATAAATTGCCATGAAGTTCAGCTGGTGAAAGCTAAAGGAAACTTGCATCACCCTGTCCCCATAACATTGTAAAAAATAAAGATATCTTCTGCTAATATAAGACACCCAAAGTCATTCTTCCATGCTTGCTTTTCTCTTTATTGCTCATATTGTTTTAAGACCTTTCCACATTCAGGATATATTGCCTGCACCCAGAGGTTGAGCTTGAAGGATTCATGGGGAATCACTGCCCTTGGAGATTTGAGGGTGTAGAAGTCATGCTACTATGCAGCAAGTAGGGACACAAACCCCTGCACAAAGGGGCTCAGTTCAGAGGCTCGAGAAGAAGCTTGCTCTTACAGATATAAGTAGAAGCTTACAGTGTTATCATTAAATTATTTGCCCCTCACACATGGAAACCTTGAATACATTCATACAACAAATAAACAATGCAAACTGATTCCCCTACTATTGATCTGATAGTGTAGAAGACTTGCCTATAGATTACCAAAGGAAACCTGCAGGGGAACAGGAAAGAGAAACTCCTGGTTTCTCACATTGCATCCAGAATCACAGAATTTCTAGGTTGGAAGAGACCTCAAGATCATTGAGTCCAACCTCTGACCTAACACTAACAGTCCCCACTAAACCATATCCCTAAGCTCTACATCTATACGTCTTTTAAAGACTTCCAGGGATGGTGACTCCACCACTTCCCTGGGCAGCCTGTTCCAATGTCTAACAACCCTTTCAGTAAAGAAGTTCTTCCTAACATCCAACCTAAAACTCCCCTGACGCAACTTAAGCCCATTCCCCCTCGTCCTGTCACCAGGCATGTGGGAGAACAGACCAATCCAATCCAATACTTCTACTGGGAAACTGATTTTCTACTATGGCATATCATAACATTTTAATGGTAATCTGGACCGGGACCTGTTAGAATATGGTGAAGTTTCTCCCTCCTTGTAGCTATGCTTCTGGGTAAAACAGCACATGCATGGGAGTGAAACAAATACTTAGGTAAGTTTCTATTTGGTACGCAACCAAAACACTTACTCAGTCTCACAAGCCCAAAACACAATGGTCAATTAGCTGACGGGTAGGGCTCAAAGGGTTGTGGTAAGTGAGGCCACATCAGGCTGGCAGTCAGTCACTAGTGGGGTCCCCCAAGACTCCATTTTAGGGCCACTTCTCTTCTATGTTTTTATAAGTGATTTGGATGTAGAAGTAGAAAGGTGTTTTGAGCAAATTTGCTGATGACACTAAACTTGGAGGAGATGTGGACTCTGATGAGGGTGGAAAGGCCTTGCAGAGAGATCTGGACAGATTGGAGAGCTGGGCAATCACCAACCACATGAAGTTTAACAAGAGCAAGTGCCAGGTCCTGCACCTGGGACAGGGCAACCTTGGCTATACGTACAGACTGGGAGATGAGATGCTGGAGAGCAGCCCCAAAGAGAGGGATCTGGGGGTTTTGGTTGATAGCAAACTGAGTATGAGCCAGCAGTGTGCCCTGGCAGCCAGGAGGGCCAACTGTATGCTGGGGTGCATCAAGCACTGCACTGCTAGTCAGTTGAGGGAAGTGATTGTCCCGCTCTGCTCTGGTGTGGCCTCACCTCGAGTATTGTGTGCAGTTCTAGGCACCACAGTACAGAAAGAATATGAAATTATTGGAGAGCATCCAGAGAAGGGCTACAGAGATGGTGAAGGGCCTAGAGAGGAAGACTGATGAGCGGCTGAGGTCACTTGGCCTGTTCACTCTAGAAAAGAGGAGGCTGAGGGGAGACCTCACCGTAGTCTACAGCTTCCTCACGAGGGGGAGTGGAGAGGCAGGTGCCGATCTGTTCTCCTTAGTGACCAGTGATAGGACCCCAGGAAATGGTGCCAAGCTGTAGCAGGGAACATTCAGGCTGGATATCAGGAAGAGTTTCTTCTCCAAGAGGGTGGTTGCACACTGGAATAGGCTCCCAAGGGAGGTAGTCACAGCATCAAGCCTTTTTGTGTTTAAGAAGCATTTGGATTGTGCTCTTACTCATATGGTCTGAATTTTTGGGTAGACCTGTGTGGAGCCAGGAGTTGGACTCGATAAACCTAATGGGTCCCTTCCAATTTGGGATATTCTATGATTCTATGAAAATGTACCCTGAGCCCCATGGTGAAGATAAAGGCAGTGGAGTAGACAGAAAAATTGCCTACAAGTTTAATGGGGTCACTATTTCCTCTGGCATGTCTTGCTTTTTCTATTATTGCTTCTTCTAGCTGACCTCATCATGAGATACCTTTGCAGGCACCATGGTGATGTTCAGCCTCCCATAGTCAGTAAATATATGCTCCTTGTACATACCAGAAATTCAGCCTTCAGCTTGATCCAGAGTTGTGTGTTCATCACTGCACTAGTTACATGACAAATAGCTCCATTTAAGCATTTTCTCACTGTGTCATCGCACACTGATATTTCACTGCTGACACCAACACATAGTGTATCTTGCTGTTCTGCTCACTTGTGGGTTATCCATTTTCTGGGTATAAATACCGTAGCCAGTGCATATTCTGACATTTGAAGGATTATACAGGGCAGAAGGTTGTAGAAATAAGTTATTATTAACATTTCCTATGTCATCCAGATCATAGCAGGTCTGAAACATGAAGTGGAAAAGCTTCTATGTAGTGATAGAGAAATATTTTTTGAATCTGGGTCAATTTTACCAAAGCGTCTGTTCTTAGAAATAGCTGTGGTGGGGGTGCATGACAAACAAACCTGAAAAAGTACTTTGAAAAGAGTACATTGTACTCTGACATTTTTGATAGTGATATATTTTGCTTCAAGCACAAAACAACTTTTCCCTTTGAAATGACTTTCAAAAAGTCAAAAACTGTGAATTCCAGGTATGTCAAACTGTTAAGCTTAGCAAGGCCTAAACAACTCCCTTTTCCCCTCTTCAGATCTTACAAATAATTTTGCTTCATTGCCCAGTGGAAAGACAAAGATGGTGTTTTAGAAATTATGAGAAGATGACACATTTCAAAGATGTTGTTCCTGACTTTTTGGCTTTGAGAAAGATAGCAAATAAAACAAGATCAACAATTTCGAATTTAGAGATTATGTGAGTTTTCTTGGGCATCTGAAAGGTTCTTCTCCTCTGATAAATAATATCTGTGTGGAAGGATGGATCTAAAGGCACAGAAGCAAGGACTGAGAAAAAAAAAAAGACTTTTTTTTCTTTTATTTTTTCCAGAAAACACCTGACCAATTAAGTTACCATTATCCCTGCTCTGCCAAGTATCATCTATACAAATTGATTAGGCAATCAAGCTTAAACTTGATTCTTCATTTCTGTATAGTTCAAACATGTTTTGGAACAGACTAGGCTCCGTTTGTATATACATATATTTAAAAAAAATAACACATTTTGATGTAAACCACATTTCAAGCTGCTTATATTTTATACATACACATGCATTTCACACATCAGGGGAAGAAGCATGCAGATCCAACCACAAGCAGTTAACAGACTCCTAGCACCCTTCCTTTGTTCAGCTCCCACAAGTTTCTGCTGCTGGTGGGTGTAGGTCTTTTGAACTTCTCAAAAGCAATAAAAAAAGACTGTAGATCAGTGCTTTTAACCACGTACTTTCCTGAGTTGCAAGCAGAACAGCTCTTGACTTGAACAGGAGCATGCATCCAAGGACATGCTGGTGAGCAGCTCACAGCATTTCTGAGGGCTTCTCTATTTATTCTGTACTTGTTTATCAGTTTCAATGAGACACTTGTATCCAGAGTATCTGAATGCCTCAAACATCTCTCAGTGTACTTGCCTTACGAGAAGGAGGAAGAGAAGTACCATGAGCTTTGCTCTTTGGGTGAAAAAGTGAGATGAGTTGGTGTGACCGGAGGAACGCTAGAGAGTTTGCCAACCCCCTCGTGCACAGGGAGCTGCCTCTCTGTACGAGGTACCTGTTGTATTCCACATCCTCGTCTCCATCATCACCACTGAATTCAGCTCTTCTAACTTGCTGTGGGGCCGGTTTTCTATAGATAATGAAAAACTGGTCTAATGCTCCATAATGTTTTTGACAGACACAGTCATTATGAAATATTTCCAAGCTATTACAGAGGCAGAAAAAGAAAAGAAACTACTGTTGCTAGGACTGCAGCATAGAAGCTTTCCAATATTTTAGATAATTAAAAGAAAGAGAAAAGAAAAAAAAAAACTTGGAGAAGGAAGGAAGTGTGAGGGAAGGAATAGGAAACTAAGAAAGCCAGAGCCAAGAATCTGTGGAAATAGGAAAGACTTTTTAGATGAGGAGATAATGCAGACATAACTACTATCCAGGAAGGTAGAAAAGAGCTTGAACTCATATTTGCTACTACTTATAGACTTTCTGAAGCATACAACAATAAAATAAACACTTACCCACATCATTACATCAGCTTCATAACAGACCCAAGAAATTCTGCTCCTGCTTGGCCAGAATAGAACATAGAAAACCTCTGTCACACATTAGCCTAGTCCAAATCAAACTGGTAAATCGCTTAATAAATGCAAACAGAAAAAGCAAAATTTTCAGAAAGGCTACCTGAACTACTCCTGTACCAGACTAAAGGTAACCCGCTTTTATCAGGTGGAGATCATTTCCCCTTGCCGTGGGGAATCAGTGAGACTCTGATTGGGGCACCCTGTGGCCCCATCCAGGCTGGGTTCACTGTCCTTCATGACAAACGATAGCCTTTGAAAGGTTGGGAATTGCCTAGCGGTCAACTCAGCTGGGAAAAAAAAAAAAAAAAAAAAAAAAAAAAAACAACGTATGATGCATCTGGAGCAAGCATCATTCCACTAAATCACATGGTTGCATGTGTCCTGCACCACTCCCAGGGGAAATGCTGCTCTGCCAACCTGGCTCTGACTCATTATTGTGACACTCAGCATTAAAGCTCATGTAGTTTGACAATCAGCGAAATGCAGGCATTTTAAAACCCTGTTATTTCACCTGTATGTTCAATTTTTAAATAACTATGCTAATTCAAAAATGGTTCATTGTTATTTACCACATCAGCCCCCTGCATACACTGAACATTATCTCTAGCTCCTTTTCAAAGTGGATTTTAATCCATTATGGCCTATCACATAAATCCTTCTTAGTTTGTGGATTATTGACCTGATAGGCCCAAACAGCTCCATCTGTCCATTTAAATGGACACGAACACTGTGAGTGTTTATTGCTTTCAATCTTATTTTTTGTAAAGAAAATAAATTTGTTTATTTCCCTGCTTCTGCATGCATAGTTTCAGTATTCAGGGACAATTTAGTGCCAAGGTCTTGTCTAAACTCTTAATTACAATGTTTTCTAGGGCAAAGTGCCCACATACGGTAGAATAAGCAAGCATACAGCTATTTGACTTGGGAAATGAAGCTGTTGACTTAGAGCCAGCCCTAAGGAGTGATGTAAAAGTTGTTAGACTGGTGGAATATTTGGAAGTGAAAAGGGATACATTGTCAAAATGTTGATAGGAATCCCACCTTATGTAATGAAGCTTTTATAGTCACAGTGAAGGAAAATTACTTTCAGATATCTACTCAGATTTGTTCTAATGAATGAGCTAAAGTGATGCTCTAAGGAACACTTGTTGAAGTGAAAACAGGAATAAAATAGTTTATTACCTATTGATATGTGTCAAGGGTCAGGTGAGAGCATACAGAAAAAAACAGACATTTTCAATTAGCCAGAAATTGTTGGTGAAATTATTTACAAAGACTGAGTTAATCATGTAATTGAGTCAAATAATTTCTAATAGAAGTATTAAACTGCTATAAAAAGGTTTGCTGTATGTAAGCCTTTTTTTACTTTGCCACTGATGCTCTACACACAGAATTATTACTGTTAGGTAAGGCACTGAAAAAGCAGGAAAGCAAACACTAAAACAGAAGCCTGCAAAATTTGGTGCTCATCTCAGCCTGGTGAATTTCATTGCTATGCTGTTTTCCTCTTCCTGAGGGTGAATCACTCCATCAGCCATCAGTGGGCCAGGACATGGATAGCAGGTGAATATAGCTTTCCATTATGCACAGGGCTCATCTCTGGTACAGCTAGGTTCGGTTTTAACAGCTATTAGTGGAGAAGAAAACTTTTAGCACATCAGTCCTGAATACTATTAAGAAACCTTAGAGAATAAAAATATACTTTGCAGATGGCCTGTGATAGCTTTTTTATACATAAACGGAAAGGTCTGAGCTCTGACACTTAGATGAGAGTGATTTGTATCCTGCTCATACTCTTTTCAAGGAGCTTCATATTTTTGATGCAGAGCTAGATACAACCTATGCATACTTTTTCATGGATGGGGAATCTCAGAGAAGAGGGAGTATGTTTTTGGCAAGCTGCATTTTCAGAAAAGAAATGTCATGTGCAAAGACCTTCTCAAAGCCAGTCTAGTGCTAAGGCCAACCTGTACTGCCCAGAACTGTTAAATACATTTGATCACAGTGGTCCATGTATGATGGTATTAACATAAGTGTACTTGTGTGCATAGGCACACAGAGCAGTCCAGTTACTGCCTTTTTTTTTTTTTCTTCTTAAGAAATTTCAGGCATCTGTTTGTCATCTGCATCCTCTGTCCCATTCTTGGGTCTTTGACCCATTCACTTCTGTGGGATTTACACAATACCAGTGACAAAACATTGTCCTAAGCGTAAATCTTGCATAAAATATCCATTCTCTGAAGTAAAATTAACTCTTTTTTTTTTTTTTTTTTTTTTTCCCCTCAGAATGACCCCAAAAAGCCATTCACTGCAGTTAAATTTATTGCACCCTCGGTGCACACATTTTGTTTTGGCAAACAGAAATGCAGTGGCCTTTGAAGGTAGTCCACCCATCAGCTCGTAGGAGATAGTAGCATGTTATACAAATTTAAAGCAAAAGTTCGAAATATTTAAAAAACTTTCACTCAACCTTTGGCATCAAACTGAACAGCTGTTTTCAGGATAAGCTCATATAATTCTGCCATGCTGAAGAGTCAGCCTAATGGAAAGAGAGTGTGATCCAGATGTTTGATTGCATGTTGGGCAGATCTTCTGGTAACACTTGTGAAGTGCTGATATACTTCAAGAAGTGGAAGACAACAATAAAAAGCATCTACACAACATCAAAAATTAAGGCTTTGCTTGCTGAGATATAAGCAGTATACTGCCTTGCATTCTGCATATAGAATATCCATCATTGAGATGACATGTCTGGAATTTCCATTGAATATTGGTTTGCATACTGTATAGCACTACTAGCATTTTTATCCTGCAGAAGTAGCAGCTGAGCATCTTATAGAAGAGTACCTAGGAAATAAATGTACATATATATATTGCATTTATATATACAATATGTACATATAGACACACCTTCTACATGCGCATGTGTGTGCATGCCTTTGTGTTTGTGTGTCAGTATGTGTATATATATATGGAAGAATATTGCATGTAACTACTTCTGGCTAGTCACCCTGGGTACTGACAGAATACATTTCAACCTGAGATATTTCTATGGAAATCAGTACATTTGTTCCACAGATATGTTTGTCCCAATTTAGTCTCAAGTTGCTGAGAAGAAATTACCCAAATCTCTTTTGCAATTTAAGGGCTCTCTGCTTACAAGCACGACTTCTCCATCAGTGAATGGAAACTAGGCTCACTACAGAAAGCTAAGCTCCATCACCTTGAATGAGCATAGAGTCAGTAGGGAACCTCTGAAATGCTTGCTGTTATTGCTTTAACATTTCAGCCACCATGTGGGGGGAGGAGGTTTTAGTATATTACTGGAATCTATTCATTTTATGAGCTGTACTGATAACATGGCTTGCATTCTACTTGGAAATTGAATTAGTTTCAGAGTTTATATTCACAGGTTTATCTAGTCAGGCTATAAAATTGAACTCATTAACTGGGCACTAGCAGAGATGGATTTTCAACAAATTTTTTAGCTGCTTTAATAGTGAGGACACTGTTTTAGTGATGACTTTAATATTGTCTTAAAATCTGTTTCAATGACTTATGGAGGCTGAGGGAACACAGTCACTGCTTTATTTTTATTTATTTTAATAAAGCAGTTCGCACTACACTGAAGGCATGCAAACTGACTATCTTCAGTGAAAGCTACTGTTCTGATAGTTGATTTGACAGGTTAATAAAAAGGAGAGACACTTTTTATTTGATTATAAGCTTTTAGACCTTGTATATTGTGAAACTAAAACATAAAGGGTAAGACACTACACATTTTTTCATAGGAACCTTTAGTCCTTACACAGATTCTTGTTTTCTTTGGATAATAAAGAGTAAGAGACAAAATTAATTGCTATATATGTCTTTCATTATGAAAAAGAGCCACAAAACTTTAGAGTGCTACCAAGTTATGAAGTTGATGGCTATAGTCTCACAGCATACCACTAACTACGAACATTATGGAGTGCAAGTTTGAATGCCACCAGGAATTCTTTTAAAATGTATATTACTTATCTCATTTATCAGGGAAAGAGGGGTGAATATTCAATTAATTGTATAATCAAAAGCAGAAAGGAAACTTCTGACTATTTTAATATGCTTATAGGAATGAACTTCATGACTGTATAATTCTTTTTAAAATGAAATGGCGTGTTATACAATATGTCAGTTCTCAAGGATGGGCCAGTTCTGCTTAAAACTTTGATAAAAAAAACACCCTGAGAAGACCAAGGACTGTATAGTCCATGGAAACCCATGGGATGTGGTTATAACGTGCACTTCACAGTGATTTGAAGTGGAACTGACAGTGAAGAGGCACAGGAATGTCTGCAGAATTCCATGTGGACCATTCACATATTTTCATGCACTGGGTTGGACTCTACAGTGCCTGACTTCAGCAAACTTGATCCCAAATGATCCCAAAGGTGGAATGTGGCCCAGCTTGCAAGGACTTTATTGTGTTGTCCTCTGCTCCCAAAAGAGATGTGGTTGCCTCTGAACTCTATACAAATAAAGAGCAGTTTGCAGAAAGGATCCTGCTCCTTTTAGCTCTGCAACAACAGTATATAACCAGAGCGATCAAGCTCTTGTTTGCCTCCTAGGAACTAGAAAGCCTTTGTGGCAAGAATGTCATAAAGCTTTATGTTCATACAGCACTTACTGGATAGCTTTTCAGATGAGGTCTCTGTATGGTTCCCTAATAAAAATAACGAGTGAATAATCGTCGGCAATATACATGCAAATTGGCCTTCCAATTGCATGGAGCCACAAGACAAAGTTTATCAGTCAAGGGCACTGGAGCAATTGTGAGCAGTCCCCAGAGTCTGTCCCCTGCAAAACTGCATGAAATCAGGCTGGCAGCCTGTGAAATGCTGGGCTGGTTCCCCGCGCCTGTACAAACGCTCATGCTCTCACTGTGGAGGCACTAAGGAATGCAGATTACAAAGGCTTTTTTCAGGACTGAAATAGTCGTTTCTCAGCGAGAAGCCAAACAGAGGCTGATCACTATATTATCTGTGTCAAACAAGGTCTGTAAGTAAATTGCACATAATTATGACAAAATATCATCAACAACATGACAGTGTCCTGTCGTGTGTTGGGGCATTTGGCACTCAA